ACCCTCAAAGAAAACCACTTTTTTCCCTTCATTTCAAACTTTTTAGTTTAGATTTTACATGAATATATTGTTTGCAATATTACAGCAAATTACAGTATCTCGATTCCATGTCACATTTTAGGAGCATTTTAAAAAGCCACATTATCACACTTCGACTCAGCTCTCGCAGAAGATTATAACATTACATAACATAACATTACATAGAATCTAAAGGCTAAATGTTCTGCCCATTTTAGTATTTCCAGCTCTGCTTTAAAGTCGTTGTTTTCCCTTTTCCCCTCATGACAGCAGCTGAGTGAACAAATTCAGAACTCATGACAGCATCAAAACTCACAACAGCCAAATTCCTCCGTGTTGTTGCTGGTGATGTTAAAATTGACACGGCTATGCCCTGCATCTGGGAAAGAAAACTCCATAAACTGTATGCGTAAGTACGTGTGGTCAGACGGTATATTTAGCCAGCCTTGAGCTGTCATCTCCAGAAGATAAGAACGTGGGCGGACTGAATAGTTTAGTGTTTTTCCTGTGCATGGTGCCTGTGTGACACGCTCATTAATACATGTTCCACTATCACAAGGACAAAGGAAGCCGAGTAAGGGCAGAGATGACACTGCAATGACTCCGAGCAGATTTTTCTCACCGCCTCACTACTGTTTTTTGTTACCCCTCCCTCCCATTCACTAATGCTCATGATCTTTTTTTAGATCCGGATTTTTCTTGCAGTCGTATTTACGGCAGGGTGTAATGATTCATTAAAAAAAAAAAATTAATACTCCAAGCAGTTCAGTAAGCTTTTCCACCAGCGGAGAGCAGAATGATGCATCCAGGTTAAGAATAGTGACAGGAAAATACAAAGACGACAGAGTTAGTGTTTTTGAAGAAAGTAAAAAAAAAAATTTAAAAAGTGGTGGATCTAGATTTTGTATGTATATCATAAAGCTCTTGTCATATTCATACTAGTTTCCAGTTTAGATACCTTGTTGTCCTGGTGACTCATATGCCATTATACTGCTGTCCTTGCTGCATTAAATGTTACAACGTTCAAGCAACAAAACAATTTGAATATGTTATCTTATCTACTTGGAGGACCGGGGTTACCTTTTTTTTACTCCCACTGCTTTTTTTTTAAGAGCAACTCGATGAAGACGTGCAATTGGGACCGCCACACTTAAACTATTATCCTGATATTTAATGAAAACATATTTATAAGCTTCAAAGTCTGGCCTTGACATCATCATTTACGGTCTATCTCTCTGAGTGGATTATGTTACCCATTCAACTAAGACAGAACTCGACCATATCTATTCAGTGAAGGATGCACCTGAAGAACACGAGAACGACGCCATGGAAAACCCAATTTAGTCACACTGCACGGATTGCCTTGATATTTCTGAATTCATTTAAGAAATTTAATCTCCACTTTTCAAGCCCAATGTGATTCTGCCCAGAATGACATTGGCAAACAATTTTAATATATTTGTTTGTCATCTGGTTAAGGCGGGCCAGACTTATTTTAAGACCAGAAAAGATGGATCTTTGAAGCCACAATTGCAAATTGTGTTGCCCCCAGCTTTGAATTGTCATGGTCTTACTAAAAAAAAAACAACAAAAAAAAACTTTTTTTAAATTTCTTTTGACAGGTAATTAGTGAAGACTTCAGTTTTCGGTCAGTTTTATTGTTTTATGTTATGAGTCGTTTGTTTTTACACACATAACTTGTGTCATTTTTGTTTCTTTTAGTGATTTTAGCTTCTGTGAAGCAGTTTAGGGTTTATAGTTTTGAAAAGCTTTTTTTTTTTTATAAAGGTTTTAGAGATGCAGCGCTTTGGAAAAGCACCCTGGAACTTCCTCATGTTTTCTACAATTACACACATAAACTATGGTGTTTTATGTGATAGACTTGCATAAAGTAGTGCATAATTGTGAAGTGGAAGGAACGTAGCACTTTCAATAACCACCTTGTTTTGTAATTACAGCTTTATAAAATAAATGATTTTACCCGTTCAATTTTGAAAATTTGTTCAAGTTCAGAGTCTGAGAAAAGACTCTAAAAGTCATCAAGTTTTCTATAATAAGTGTGCCATACTTAAAAAAGTAAAAGTCACTCTATGCTTTATGCCACTGCCATTGATGTCAAAGTGATGAGCCTAACACCGTACTGCTCAACCTTTTTAAATTACTACATTTTCAATTCTACGAGAATAGCTGACATTTTATGAAGGGTAAATGGTGGATTATCTACTGCTGATGAATGATACTAATGCATGTTGACTAAAACAGAATAAAAGGGCAACTGAATTGAAGATCATAACCATGAAGAAACAATTTCGCAGCCATAAAACGTGGATTTTGTAAACCATTCCTAATTCATCTCTTTTACTTCTCTCTTTGCTCCTCCTATCCTTAATCCAATTTCCTCACTTTCTTTTCACATTCTGCATCTTCTACTTCTGCACATCTCATCCTCATTCCCCTCCACTCTCCAAACACTCCCTCCCTGCATGCTCATGTCCATCCTCTCCTTGTTCCTTCCTCCTTCATTCTGTAGCAAGATCCTGACTGCTGCTCACAGTGGGATGGCAGCGAACAAAAGAGCATAGCAAAAAGGTTAACTTATCCCCGTTGTCACTCAACACTCTCCAGCCCGTCTTGCCTCTGGTGTAAGAATTTGAGGCCACCCATCGATCCTCACATCATCGACTGCACATTATTCCCCACGCTCTCTGGAAACCGAAGCCGACCCTCTGCACACACACGCAGACACACACAGTCTTACCCCCCGTCCCTCAAAACACTTGCTTCTGTGAATATTTGATTTTCAGGGGCAGAGCTGTAAACAATACTTAAGCGTGTTAAATGATATCCAATCAAGGCTGACAAAAAGACGTTCAATCACTGGATGGAAAAGCAGTCTTTTTGATTTTTTTGGGTGGGGGTTGTGGGGGCTTAAAGCAAATGGAATTGATAAAAAGTGTTATAAAGAACTCCTGGAGATTTTGAACCCTAAAAATGTCAAGAGAAATCCTTGCTAGGATAATAAGCATGAGCTATATATGTATTCTGCAAACTCCCTCATTCACCACTGCTGACTTCATTAATTTAAAGAACTAATGGCAAATAATTTGTTGCCCGCTCAGTTTAATTGCCACGTGTTCGCTAGTTAGATGAGTCAAGTAATGCATGTTTATAGTTGGTTAATTTCTGCAGTGTGTTTGAATCGCTTCGAGACTCTGGCTAAAAATATTTTAGGGTTAGAAAATCCTAAAATACAAAACATCAACATATCACAGCTTGTCTTTTTCTTTGTTTTTCAAGTGAGCTGTCTTAGCTTGTCTTAGCAAGCACAGTCAGTTGCAGCTCCATCAATGGGATTGTGGGTTGAGCACAAAGTATTTTAGACAAAACAATCACAATTTTTTTGTCTAAAATCTTGTTTTACTTATGTTCTCTTTTGAGCTCAACCCATCTGTTGATTTCTGCAGGAGGTATTAGTAAGATGAATCAATAAGCTCCCTCTCCAAATGAACTTTCTGCAAATTTACCTCCAGTAATTAGCTGCGGAACCAACTTACTTTTTTCTCACTGTCTGAGTGTGAGAATATTGATGCGAGCTGCCGACAGATTTACATACGGTGATGAGGAATACGACTTTTGACAACTCCATTCCTGTACTAAGTCCTCGTGACTAAAACAGGGACTATGTGTATGTGTTTTAAATCACCAGATTAGATGCCAATTCATTAGATCTCCAAGCTACTGATTTCAGACAGCATTCCTACCAGCTCCCTCATCCTTATTCGACAAATTGCCGCATAAATTCTCACATTATGTCGTCACATATGAGCTGGAGGATTCCCTTTCGCCGCCGTTTTCCTTTGACAACCATGCGCTGGATAGAGCTTGATTGTGGTGTTTTCACTCTATAGTGTCTTTTTGCTCATGCTCACTTTTATTTTTATTCTCAAATTTTTCAAGGAATATTTCTCAAATCCAGACCTGGAAACAGACGCAAAAAATTATGTACGCTGTTAATACAAATCAAGTTAATGTCTACTACGCTCTCCAAAGAACATGTGAATAAGAACACCTGATATCACTGACGGGGTTTAATGCCTGAGCTAAATGACAATGCACTAATTATAGCAGAAGCCGAGACATATTATCAGTTTTTGTGCCTGTCAGGAGTACTGTGAATAGCAATGAGTCATCAAGGCCTTTGTGCAACAGGGGACAAAAGTACAGACTCCGTGAGGAAAAGTAGGGGACATAAACAGCTTTTGAAGGTCCCCGGGAACCTATTAAAGTCTTAATGATTCATTTTAGTGGAAGATTTTCTTAATTACTTTTTTTGAAGTCAACGGGATTATTGTTTAATGTTTGCGAAGGATGACCTTGGCAGAACTTGATGAAATAATTGATAGGGTTTTTGTGTGTGCGTGTGCGTATGGGTGTACCCCATCAAACAATATGTGTAAGCCAAATGAGACAGATAAAATATCTCAAGCAAAAAAACAACAAAAAAATAACGTGAACAAGTCAGCAACACTCATTATTCAAAGAAGCACAGCAAGCAAGAAACGCTTTCCTCTTATTTTCAGTGGAATGGTGCTGAAGCAACATTTGATCATCTTCAAATGTCTTTTTTTAGTTCCTCATCTTATCTTAATGCTGCTCTGCTCTAACTCAATGCTTCCACCTAGCTTTGCAACCACAGAAGACACCTTGGTTTGGCAACACTACATGCAAATAGTCTCCCAACACTTCCAGACCCTTGGGTCATCATCTTCCGGCTCCCCACTGCCCTTTAATATGTTTTCTGACGCGTACCACAATAGAATATGAAACTTTTAGCAAGAAGACAAAACAGACTTGATGCAGGAGTCCCACAAGGCTTATTTAGACAAACAAAGACCATCTTCTTAAGATGCCACCAGGCAATCAGAAAAGTCACCCAGACCAATTAGGAACATCGCTGCTGGGGAATCGGTATGGTGTCTTACCTTCCTGCACAGCCTGGAATGGGTTGTTAGGCTCGATAAGTTTCACAGAGTGGGTGATTTTCTCGCTCTGCAGGATGTCATCATTTAAACTCAGGTCTGAGATGGCGAGTTGGAAAATCTCATCGTCTTTGACAGCATTTTCCTCGAATATGGCACCTGTTGGCAGGAAACGAGGAGTCATGCAAGAACTGTACTAAGGAGGAACGACATGTTGGCGCTCGGACAGTGCGAGAAAAGTAGACTTACACTTCTCACATGTAGCATTGTGACCACTGAGAACACCGATTGTATCTTCAGCATTGCACATACTAGTGAGTAACAGGTTAGGTGTCAAGTACACAGCTCTTCCCATTTTTCTTTAAACGAAGAAAAATGGGAAAACAACTTGGTTAAAACATCTTGATTCACTCTTGTAAGGTGTTCTATCTGCCAGACGAGGTAAAATAAACGAATAGTGATGAACCGGCAACAGAGTCGTGGCTAAGGCTCATTGAGGCACTTGATGCCTGAACAAATGAACCAACGTAGCTCAAACTGCTGCAGAAGTTCACACTGCTTCTGATGTAAAGCTTTCAGACAACAGAGTGCATTACCGTTGTTGCATATGGAGGCCGCAGACAGGTCAGGAAGCCATGACAAGAGCACGCTGCTGCTCATCTGGGCACCAGACACCACAACACACCTTCAATGGTTTAGCCTAAGGCATCCATGCCGATTCAGGGCTATAGAATGTAATCCCAGATCATTCGAAGACCTGTTGATACCATTCATCAGAGTGATACGACTATTTAATCTCCAGCATCATCTAGTCTGAGCTTAGTCTGCTACGGGTGAAGATTGCAACATTTGATGTGCTGAGTCTATTATCCACAGCAGCAAATGTTCATCAGATCTAATGCACACAACCTACTGAGCGTTATAGGTTTGCATGCAGGAGGCACACTGCTTGTAAACCGCCTCTGCTCCTCCTCTGTTGATCAAAATGGCATCGGCCAGCGAATGAAAAAGTGCACACACATATCGCTGTGAGGGGGAATTCAGGAAATATAATTGGGGTACCCTGTAACGCTATGCAAAGCATCAGCCAGCATCATCTGGATGAAGTCCCGCTGCTGTTTTAAGCCAGCGACTGAGCACCTGCTGCTTGCCAGACTGTTGCAGTAAACTGTGAGCAGCAGCAGCAGCGACAGAACGGAAATCTGAACGTGGTGACATTGACGTTTTTATCAGGGATTACAAAGCTGGTCGCTGTGATCTGATCAGGACGAGGTGGGGAGGGAGATGAGGGGGATGCAAATATTTAATGCAAATTATTTGTTTGGGTTTAAAAAATAAATAAAAAAAGCCTAATCCCATGTTTGAAGAGAATCTGTTTGAACATCCTCTGATAAATGATGCCTCCATCTCTGCATACCCCTGGTTTGAAGTTGGAGTACAAAGAGGCTCTATGCCCTTTTGCATCTCTAAAACTCCGCTGACGTCCCCCACCTCTTGTCCTCCCTCCTTCCTTCTCTCTCTCTCTCTCTCTTTCTCTTTCTCTCTCTCTGTATCTCTCTCTCTCTTTCTCTCTATCGCTCTGTTATTTGACATTGCAGTCACGTTTGGGTGAAAGTTGAAGCTTGTCGGCTGTATAAGATGTGGCCGAAAAAAGAACAACAAAAAAAATCAGAAGAGGAAGAAGAAACCCATGAGTATGTTGGCTGATGGACGTCGAGCTCTTCAAAGCTTTAATTAAAACGCGCCTCACTGTAATCCGTGTTTTGAATGCGTAGGGAGCGCAATTTATGGGGCCGAATGTGCTTATTATGGCTTTTGATCTGAAGCCAGGGGGAATGCAGAGATGACACCTGCAGAAAAACAAGAGATCACTCAACACCTCATAGAAATAATATAGCCATGACTAAATGTTTGGCATGTAAAAGGGGAGAGGAGGGAACAAAACTTTTTACCTGGTTTTATAGTGTTAAAGACAGGAGGCAATCTGGTTAGACTGTTTATAACGCTGTGTGACTACAATCTCATGTGTTGGCTGAGCTTTCCTTTTTTTTATTTTTTTGTTTATTTCCCTTTACTACTGCCTCTAAGAGCATCACGTTTCCTCGGACGCTTACCGATATGAATGATTGAGTCCGCATTGGCCGGATTGCAGTGCAATATCCACAAGGAAAAGCAGATCAGCAGCAACTCCATCTCGGTATCCGAGCGAGGCGTCTCATCCAAGCTTTTAACTCGACTGTCCTGCACTGTCCAAAACGGTGCGACCCCCTCCCCCTGGAGAAGAAAAATGCAATCGGTGGATATACCAAAAAACCCACGGCGGTCCTTTTTTTTTCCTTTCGCAGCAGACAGGTGTGAAATCTAAAAAAAAAAAAAAAAAAAAAAAAAGAAAAAAAAAGAAAGAAAACACCTCTTTCCTTCTAAGTTTTTTTTTTACTCCTTTCTCTCTAAGCCAACACAATCAGATCAGCCGCATGAAGGTGGGCATAAAGGACGAGGAGGAACCGACAGGGACCCGACATTGGACTGAGGAGACAGGTAACAGCCCGGCGAGGGAGAGACCCGGCGCACCTCTCTCTCTCTCTCACTCCCGCTTCTCTCTCCCGGCGCTCCGGCGTCTAAAGCATGGCAAGCAGCTTAAAAAAAAAAAAAAAACACGGAGGAGGGACACCCCTCTAACTACACGCGGATAGAGGTTCACACACACACATACACACACACCAAGGAGAGAGGGGAGATAGAGAAGAAGAAGAAGAAAAAACACACACGCTCTTCAATTCTGTCTCAATCACGTGATTGCGGAGACTTCACGACTCTGCCGCCGTCCTGACGAGCCGAGGAGAAATGATTTGGACTCGCCGGAGAAAGACGCGCAGAGAGCCGATATTAATAATAACAATAATAACAAAAGAGTCGTAGGTTGTGACAGGCAGAAGGCGAAAAAAAAAACAGAAGAGAATTTCTCTCTGGAGAGACCCAACCCGACACAGATGTTGCAAAAGAGGTGAAAAGTGGAGGAAACAGTTCACTTCTGAGAGGTGTGCGCTTTTTTTTTTTTTTTTTTCTCGGCCGAGACGTGAGAGATCGAAGCGGAGCGCAGCTGGTGTGTCCTGGGGAGAGGAGGGAGGGGGAAATAAAGAGAGAGAAACGGATTTCCACGCCGCGATCTGTCCTCGGCGGAAGCTGACGGATGAGAGGACAAGACGACGGAGGGGACCGGGGAGCAGACTGCCGGAGTTACCGGAGTATCATTAAGCAAAAGGGGAACGCAACTATGCCCGCAAAATGGATTCCTTGAAATTCACGCCACGCTTTGCCTTTCATCGTGGGACCGCTTTTGTTTGTGCGCTTCTTTTTGCTTGTGAATCCGCATCTGGGCACCACTTATCCCCAAATGCACGCCGGCAAAGAGGAGTGAGAAGTCGGACTTTCTCGATGGGCATAATCTTACAATTAAAGGATATTTCTCGTGGATATCATAAAAAAAACGGAAATATCTCTTAATTGTTTGGTTAAGTCGGTCGTGGGCACAGAGCAGAAACTTTCAGCACCACCAGCGAGCTGGACAGCGCCTTCAATTCAGCAGTGAAAAAAAAAAAATAGAGCCGACAGATGCATCTATGGAAGTCCAACTGTGCCACTAAGCAATACAGGAATAATTATTTTTACATGTCAATTATGAAATAAAATTGACATTACATCCGCTTGATAAGTATATACAGGCATCTGTATTTATTTTAATGTGTTAATAATGTGATAAACATATGATTAAAAATGACATTTTTAACAGAACTTTTTTTCAGTTTTTTCTAGTAATAAAGGTTATTGTGCTCTGGAGTGGTTCCCTGTTCTCAGCCAACATTAGAAATATTGGCAGGATATGGGTTGATCAACGGCTTCTATATGGGACTGACCATTATCTAATAGCCATGTGGGGGAATGACCTGTTTGGGTTTGATCCAAAAAGCTCTGAAAATAAAGTGGGATTCATACCAGAGTGCTTAACATGTTACACAAACTGAAACGATTTTTCCAATATCCACTTAAGGATATTAAGTGGAACACACATTAGATTGTGTTTCCATTTCACTACCAACATGTGTTGCATGTTTGTCAACCTGCATGGTCCTGTACAGGAAGTCCGTTGTGAACCAAGGGCACATCCTTTGTTAGTGTCTTGGTTACCAGCTCGGGCCTCATGTCCAACTGGGCTAATTTTATACTAAATAGTCCTACTTACACATACTGTCTGATTGGTCTGGAGGGGACTTGTTCAGTTTAACCAATCAGACGTCACAATCAATGGACAGGCCACAGTCTAAGCTCCTCAAGTGCTAAAACTGCCATGCTGTTGTAAATGATCTAAAAAAAAAAAACATCCTGAAACAAAAATTTATAGACACTTGTAACTGAAACAGAACTGGGAATAAGTGGATTGAATTCAAATGTATCCAAAAATGATGTCACTCCTTAAATGTCCTTATAGACCCGGGAATTTGCACTTTCAGGGTGACATATTTAGGGGAAGACATACATTGTCAAACGTGATTTTCATTTTTCTGTTTTTTTTTTTTTTTTCAGTTATGTTGCTTTTAATGTTATTTCAAAGTTCATGTGCCAAAGTACAGCCTCAAATAATTAAACTGTCAAGGTGGCCCATCAAATAAACCTCAACATCTGATTAGTTAATCGGCACCAAAGGTGCACTTCAAAACAATTATGCTGAGATGAACTGTCTTAAGCTCATCCAGTGGCTTTACAATTCTAAAAATAAACCCATTGTCTGCACATGTTCATGGAATAAAAAAGGGAATAAAATTAACAGTACACATGAATGTTTCCTGTGAACATGACTCTTCTTTTTTCTTTTATAACTTTTAAATAATACAATATATAAAATGAAAGTTTCTTCAATCATAAAGCAGCTACATCCAAATAACTTCTATTTTTTTTAAAAGAGCAAGCACTGCCCCTAGTGGCTGTTTTAGATGATGCATTAGTAAAAAAGAAAAAAGAAAGATTGTTTCACTGTATCCACTGTCAAACAGTGCAAAATAAATCTTGTGATAAAATAAGCTCACAAAGAACGACCAATTATTCTAAAGAAGGAGATGCGTTTATGTCAATATTTAATTCATCCCAGCCATACGTCGCCTCGGGAAGGAATGAAAGTGTTTTGATCTCGTTTATCATTTTCTTAACACAGTAGATTTAACCTTGAGGTTTAGTTTTCCAGTGGCGTCCAAAACAGCATAAAAAATTCAAAACATCCCAAAAGAGGATATAAAAATCCCTTAATTTCACTCATGTATGAAGCAACATGATGAAAACATTTCTTCAGTGAATTATTCATTTTTAGAAAGTGGCCTAACTTCACACAGGCCCCCAAAATAATCCTTGCTCCTTGAATGCAAATTTGGCCTTTTCCCTTCATCTTGCTATATTGAGAAAATGTGCATGTGAAAAGCAATAAAGTCTGTTTTTTATTATTATCATTAAATTTCAATTGAGTCTTTTTATAACTTTTGCTTTGTCTACATAAGGAATACCTAAGGAGTTTCATATGTTTTACTAAAAGTACTATAATAGACACTTTTCTAAATATGGCAGTAAAACCAAAAATGATTAAAATAACTTTGCTTCCAGTTCTTCGCTTCCACTTGGTGAGGATGATTTAAGTCGAATCTCTATCCATCATGGTAACCATTACCATATGCATCAGGAATGTTAAAATTAATGTAGGCTCTCTATTATTTATAATCTGCATATAGACAGATATTTAAATGAATAGCGCAGCATGTTTTATGTCTTGTGGAGGTGAGCTTCATGCATTAATAAGTAGGGGTGTATACCAAATGGAAGCAAGAATATATCTTTGTGGATTCCTGTAAAATATTCTAGATTTTGGGGGGGGTTATTATGCAGTTCATTCCAACCCAGGCCGCTCCCAGTATCCACACTTTAATAATCATCTTTCTATGCACAACAGTGTGGATCAGCACACCGTCGTCTCAAATGTGCCAAGACAGAGACATGAAAACCATGGCAGTTTGGACATGACAGCAAAGATGGGGGAATTTTACACAGACTGGTCATATATGTTTATAGCTATGAGCAATGGGGAGGAAAAGAAAGACAGAGTGACAGGGACAGCAGCATTAAGTCAGACTGTTCCATCTGGTGTTTGAAAGCCAAAGGGGAAAAAAAAGAAAGTGATACTAACCATTAAAGAAGAGTTTTAATGATAGACCCGTCTGTAGACATCTGTGTTCCCCTACAACTCTTCCATGATGTCTTGGTACTCCTCGAGATGATTCCCTACTCATAATTTAGTCTCATGCCACAATTTAAGACAAGCATTTTCTTAAAAAAAAAAAAAAAAGAAAAGAAAATTGGTTTTGTCATATTTAAAATTTTTAGATTAGCAATTTTTAATATAAGAGAGAGAACAATCTTTGTAAGTACACAATGTAGTTTTCAAAGGATGATTTAATTTATTATGGGAAAAAGGCTGTCCAAACATACCTGGTCCTATTTGAAAATGTATTTACTTCACAAATCTTACAGGTGATTGCTTCACCAACTCGACGGGCATCAAGAAGTAGCAAGAAGTCTCACTATTAAGAAATGTATTACGGTAGACATATTTTGACCCAATCTTCACAGAGTCAAGATTGTGTGAAGGATCTTCACACAATCGTTTCACCATGACTGGCTTTTTGGGGTTCAGTTTGGCCAAGTCAAGATTACTTCAAAACATTAAGTCTTTTTATTTTTTTTAAGGTTCTGGTTAAGGAGCTCCTTCACACCACACATCTCATAAACTCAAACTTCGCAACTTTTTACAGTCTATTGAGTTTTTATATCACACAGTTAGAATACTGTTATCAGTGAATAACTACATTCAAATTCAAAAGATTATATTGTTTGAAATGCTGTTATTATGACCAATTCCTTGGTCGGGGTTTGAATGACGCTCAAAACTAGCATTATCTTCCTCTAGCTGATTTAAAGACAGAAGGCTAATCTTGACTGAACATGTTCTCTCATGTGAACTAAAGTCATGAGCACAACCTTCTTATATCAATGACTAATATCATTTTAGTATCTTGGCATTTCTTTGCTATGCTTCGAGAAAGTATCACTGCTGTCTGAATCTCAAAATGGCGGTCTGAAAAGAATGATCAGGTTCCTGTAGAGATGTTTTTCTCCCCAGCATGATGCCTCATAATGTTTTACCTAATGGCTGGTTCAAATTGATCAACATCAGTCACAATAGCATAAGCCCAGCAATTAGATTTAATTGCAATTAGTTTT